AGTAGTAAAACCAACAACTGCCTTTTATGATCTAAATATGATCAGGCTTTTCTGTATCTCTATCACTCTTTGTCCTCTTGTTACCCTCCCACATTAAAATGTTTACTCTACAAACAGGGTTAAGACTGGGACAATCCAAAGCAAACGGAAGAAATACAAAAATAGCAATCGAGTAATTTTTGAGGTGTGTATCCCAAAATATGAATGATGATTAACTATCACCTATGTTGCAATCCATTTAATTGTTTTAGATGTATTTCCCAACACTTTACCAACCAGATGTTTCAGAACAGTTTGGCATTTGTGATTGTTTGTCTCCATCAAGTTGACACTTCACTGGATTACATGCAAATAAATACAAAGACTAGCTTATAAGTTTCAATAACAAAAGTTTTTATTAACAATGTAAAATGACCTATATCAGCTCTGACTACTGAACCTCCACCGTGCCCTAAACATTGATCACTATCATTAATAAGCAAGACCATGCTGTCTCACCTCAGACAGAGGGAGACCCTTCCTGCTTCTGCCAACTAACAGAATCTCTGCTAACCATCTCCATCCTTGAAAATAATTCAGAGAGCAGTGCGTAAAGAGTATGTGTATATACAAGTCTAATGTCTCAATGTATAGATAGATATTGTGTGCAAAGAATTTTTCTTTTTGAGTATTGTATCATATATTCCATTCTGAAGCTGGAAAAGTTTAAGTTGGATACAGGTACTTGGTTTATGGAAGACTAAATTAAGTACATTAAGAAGAAGAAACAGCAAGTAACAGAAAACAGAGACTGTAACACACAACAAACTTACTCTGCACAAACCTGTCATCTCAGCTTAGACATACGAAGGTATAACTTTGTCTTTGCAAGCGCCGTCCTTAAAGAATTGGATTGGCGTCTAATTATAAGTTATCACATTGTTTCTGACAAAACTGACAATTATATTCCCTTTTTTAAAAACATGAATCTTCATTTCATTCACCCAGGTTTGTGGAAGTAATGAACATTGACATTATTTCAAATAACCTCTCATTCTCTTTTACATTGGACAAGCAGATATCTGACTTAATTGACCAAAAAAGGGAAAGTTTGTTGCAAAATATCTTAAAATATATGTTCATGACTTTTGTTTTCATTACAATGCAGTTACAATTCTTCTTTGTATTACAAAATAAAATTATAAAATGGGCAGCCGTTAAAAAAAAGAGAAAGAGACAATTTATTTGAAAATGGCAGTAATAGATTGGTGGGAGACACAAGTGGTGAAGGACAGTGGGTAATGGTGTCTTTGTTACCGCCTCCTACCCACAAAGGCGGGGCCCTTAGCTGGTTACCAGGCAACAGAGCCCAAAGAACCGCCTCTTCCTCTGTCGGACCAAAGGGTAGGGAGTCAGGTTCAGTAAACTGCTGTCGTCTGGGCACAAGAACAAACAGCAGAAATGTTTAAAGTTTTAATCATGTTTCTTTTTTGTATTCACTCTTGATCCCAATACATCTTCTATGCTTTCGGAGCAGGAAGGGTTTCAAAGTGTCACTGCTCTATGGGGTTGAGGTGTGGGGGGGATGTGTGTGTTAGAGTTAAGGTAAAGTTTGATTTGTATCTTACCTTGGTTCTTCAATGGTAAAGGCATTGTCTCCCTGAGTTTACTGAGAAGGTTTTTCATCTCTCTCATATCCCTGCAACAACACAAAGGACATATTTACACTCACACACACGCCTCACATTTTTGACGCATCGTCTAAAAATGCAACCTAAAAACCTACTTAGTAGTAAAAATGTATTATTGTATAATACAATACTTTCTTTAATAATCATTTAAAGCACAGCACACTCTGAGACTTTCGGATACAACTCCTGTGATATTTATATGTATTTCTATATTATATCTTATTTTAAGATTTGATTCTAAAGTTGTATTAATTGTTAAAGTTATAAAAAATGCTACATCCCATTAGCCTACATTTTTGTATGGTTTAGAGTAAAATATTTGCATATATTTTAACTGTTGTAATAATGTGGGTTGGCATAACTCCTGTTATCTTTTTTTGACTAAAATAAGTTACATTTTATCTTCAAATCCAATTGAAAATTACCAACTATTACATCATTAGTGAGGTTCAAAAGAAGAACATGTGAGGTGTGATTGACTAAAAAACCGTTTTAACTACATACTGTATGTGTATTTTTTTTAAACAAGGAGCATCTACAATTATTGACACCAAAAAAACGTAGTCACACACAGAGGGACGCATTTCATTTTGTGTCTACCTATACCTTTCAATGTTCTCTATGTCATTGGCCACCAGCCAGCAGAGCTGAGGAAAGTCGGTGGGGGAGGAGGAGGTCTCCTCGAGGATGGGGATGTCCGAGCTGTCCTCCGTCTTATTGTCCCCTCCAGTGGGGCCGCAGCCATCCTTACCTAAAGCACACAGGGAGCAGCTAGCCTTTAGCATGTAGCACCACTACACACATTAGAAAACAAGGAAAACAAGGGTGGGAACAAAATAAGAAGAGTTGACATACAATTAGCCATCAGATTACATGATAATTGTTTAACATTAGTGCTGCTTTATATCTGTAGACAAATATTCAGGTCTGTTGATCAGGTTGCTGTTGGTACAATAGGAATGGTGGTGAAGTTTTGGATGTTAATCTGTTAAATAAAACATGGTAGAAAGCTGAAAATCAATAATTACATCTGAAAAGTTTCAAATATCCCAGTGTATGATTGTCTCGTGTTTTATTTGTTGAGAAATCATTTTAAAAATAGAAGTAAATCATGCTGTGTATATACTAGCTAGCACACATGCATAAATACAAACATTCTAAAATCGTCTTTGTGTATTAACCTTTCCTGTGGAGCTGCAGGGAGCCCAGCAAGCAGACAGACTTGAGCATCTCAGTGATGAACATCTCGAGACAGCACTGCAGCTGGATGAAGAGCCGACAGATCTCAGGGTGGATCTCCCCGTCCTCCGGCCTGAAACGGTTCATAGTTTGAACACAGCAAGTTTGTAAGCGAGCTGGAACTTGATGAACTACGGAAACATTAAAGCGACTTAATGAAAACAAATAAAAATCATAGTTCCGTTTAGGGATAAAGGTAATGGATAGCATCTTCACGTTTCTTTGTATGTTTAACAAAGCTTACTGTTGAGTTATGCATTGGTGACCTCAGTAACTTGATGTGCGTGTGCTAATCTAAACTCTTACATTTGTAGCAATTCCACTGTAAAGCCCTATATTAATGTTCAACATATAGTTTCCAAATTGCATGCAGTTACATACAAAAAGACTCTCTCCAAATCTCGTTAACCATGAGAAAAGTGAAATAGTTGATAATGGTATAGTGAATGGTGAAGAAAAACCAAAACCCAATGCCCTTTAATATAATTACACAGACTGAATTATTGATGTGTGGCTATTACAAGTAATACTTCCATCTTTCAACATAACATCTTCTATGCCACATCATAAGCAGCAACAAAACTATTGAGTATCACAATTGCAGTAGCCTGACGAGTTAGGCTGCTTGTGATAACTTCAATGTGATCTCTAACCTGAACAATAACTATAAATCCTAATAGCAGCAGCTCAGCTCAGGAGAGGTAATAAACTCACATACATATAAAACCTTGTCCATTCTTTACCAAATGCACACTAACAGACGAGCCATATAGTTTGCGTTATTGATGAACCTTTTTTTTTGCAGCGTAAAATGTCAAAATTGCTACTGTCTGGATTTGCTTGGTTATTTTATAGTGTGTTCATATGTTAGTCTGATAATGTATAAATACAATGCAGTGGAAAACATAAGAAACTCATCTAAGTATCATTTATTTACCCAAAGCGGATCACTAGCCTTTATGAGACACTGCAGTAGCTTTACAGCCATATAAACCTGGTGTTGAACAGACAGGTGATATTAAGATGCAGTGATATCAAAAGGGAAAGTGACAGCGATGAAAGGCGAGAAACTTGCACCTGGTGCAAACACTTCTCACATAAATAACGTTGTTGCATTTCCCTCTTGGAAAAGATGGCTTTTCCTTCCTATCCATGGTTTGCCACAGCGATGCCTTCTAAAGTACTGTTGCTACAGCACAGCTGTCATCAATGCTATCCTGCTTATCAGCTTTCCTCTAGCACATCGGAGAGGCCCGCATCACTCAAGCAATTCAGACACAGGCTTTATTTGATTAAAGGGGAATGATCTGTGCTGTCTAATTCAAGTGCTGTAAATCTCATAGTGGGGAACGACACCAAAATGGTCTGAGAGCTTTTGGAGAAGGAGCTTTAGAGTATGTGCTGGTGATGATTATGACAATCATGTTGATGCCATTATCAGTAGGAACTTAGAGTTCTCTCTAAAGCTGCTGCATCGTCTCTATTTCTATAGCAGCAGCAGGAAATCAAGGTACAGTGTTATAATTGATAGTACTTGTTTCTCTTGGAGGTATTACTGTATAGTATAATTGCAACATATTGGAAAAAGAGTATACAGAACTGCTCTGTTTCTCAAAAGATTTAAGTATGAAGTTATTAAAGCTTTGCTATAAAAAGCAACTGAGACACCCCTGTTCAATGGATGTTGTAGGATTCATGCCTCTGCATGACAGGAAACATGCAAGAAACATGCTTGCTGGCTAACCATGAGTGTGTCACACAAAGACCCCGTACATAAATGGAAAGATTTTGTAATGCATGTAACAGACAGTCAAGGATGTGCATTCATAAATGGCTGCAAGATGTAGCAAGTGGATTAATTATTGAGCCAGGAAATGGGTTATAGAGCAGAGAACAGCCTACAACACATTTTAAACTCAGCATTGTAAAAAATGTGGCAGACTAATATTTTATGGGAGGGCATTCAATGATCAGAGGTCTCTAATGAATGTGTATGCCTGGAATAAGGAGGAACCCAATAGGGCTTAGGCTTTGGAAAGCACCTAGCACTGCAGAGCATCCTCCAAATCTCTCTTACCACTGGCATTACTTTGTCCGATTGTTATTTAAGTAAGTTTGAGATTGCCAAATCAGCTGGCATCTTAGCTTCAGTGAGGACATTCAAATCCCAAGCCTCACTTTGCCCTTCTTACACTGGCACCAATGTGGAGTAGATTATGCTCAATGGAGAGAGCAGGCCAAGTCAACAGACACGTCAGGCGTCTAGCACAGCCTCTATCTTCGACATAAACCACTATTATAAATAAAATATATTATAATATTTTCTTTGGTGCATCAACTATTTCATTATTAAAGCTAAGGATCAAAGATATTCTGCACAAGAGAAAATAATAACATCCGTTTTTGAAAAGCATGATCAAATGACAATAACAGAGACAACCTACACACACACACACACACACACACACACACACACACACACACACACACACACACACACACACACACACACGGTCACTCTGACAATACATTAAAGCAGAAATGCAAAAGTCCTCAACTGCACATTATTGATAGCCTACTATTATTATCTCAGATATTGACGAGGGAAGCATTCCACTTCATGCATTAAGGTTTTAGGCCCCAGCTAATGGGAAGCGGTCAGTTAGAGCATGTTGTTGTAATTGCTTCCTGGTAAAGCTCTCTCACTAACAATTAGAGACATCACTTTAAAAAAAAAAAGGCTAATCTCATGTTCTGTGCTCCCAAAACTCTTTATCCACTTCAAGCTCACTAGCTTCACTTTAATGGGACAGACCCTTTAGCTTTCCTCGAAGTTAAGAGGAGCAGGCCTAAGTATACATGTGCCTAAAACGGGGACGCTTATGTAAATTAAAGATGTGCTTTGTTAAAAGTAGCTACTTTATAACTTTAGGCACAGCACTGTAGCAGAGCGCCCCATTTGGTGCACTTTCAGCACCATGGATAGCGCGTAGCAAGGTACTAATGTTCAGCACCGTGGACAACGTCTGTGCCAACTCACCCTGATATCAAGGAGAGACTGTGGTGAGCAGCTCGCGCCATTTCGCAGCCTTTAGTTCGGGTCTTCAGCAATTCGGCCCGTAAAGAAGGACAGTCCACAGTGATTTCGCCAATGGAGATGACCAGTTCACGGTACAGAGCCACAAGCGTGTTGAACTCTTGGACGATCTGTGATACAATTAATGAGATAATAAAATATGTTATTCCGAAAACGACTTGGTCAAATAAGTACCATACAAACATAACAATGCTCTTTTGGCCCCCTGTTCTTCTCATTTAAGTAAAACAATCTTTATCTTTGGCTTTCTTCTTGACTTGTTAACATAAAAAAGTGTCAGTCAAGACGGAAATGCTGAGCAGTATTATATCCAGCCTCACTATTCTTTTCCCCTCACTGAGGCAATATAATGTGCAAGCAGGTTCCCGGCTGCATGCTTCAACAGTATTTAAGAACATTTTTACATTGCACATTATGGAGTAAAAAAAAAAACGATTGTCGTTCAAATTGTCCACAAATTCAGAGTGTATGATGAATGTATTGATTTTATTTTTCATTGTCCCATTATGCTAAATTTGGTTGTTTGCACAATCTCAGATCTTGGGTTCAGGGCAAACACATTTCGTTCATTTTGTGCAATTCCTGCATAGCATCCTGCTGCACTCCTGTGTATGAGGCTCCATGACGTTCACAGATGTTTGAAAGGGTAAATACATATATTTCGTGCCAAAATCTGTCAAAACACGGGACCTCTGTGCAAGGATCATAGACACCTCCGTGGATAATCTTGTAATTCAGGCAATTTTGATATCAGCCAAAATCACCTGGAGCTGTGCACACTCCAAATGCAAATCACACAGTCAATCTGCACGCAGAGATGATCTGTTTGGATTCACTCCCAACAAAGCAATGTAAATGCAAAAAGCTATTTTTAGGCACCCAGCCCGGGTTACAGGCTTTTCTTTGCAGCTACTAACAGCTTTCGCCTGTGCATTCTGCCTGCACGGGATAGTCGATCGTCTTTGAACAAAGAAATGTTGGGATAATAACATCACTCCTTATCAGAGGCACCATGCAGTCATTGACGTGTCGCAAACCTACCATTCTGCAGTCGGCCACGGCGCGCTGGGCTTTGCGGGTACTTTCGGTGCTCTCCCTCCTCTCTGGGTCGCGGGAAGGAGGCTTGCCGATTTGGAAGATGTTCCCGGCTGATCTGGGGCGGTTTTTGCGCCCATTCGATGCAGAACTCATGCATACACATCCACTAATAAAACAGCCCTAATACAGAACGGCTTTGTATTATTTCCCTACCAAACTCCACCACTTTCTCTGTTCCTGCCTCACTAGCCCGCACCTTACTGTTCACCTTATTATCTCCGATTACGCTGAATTCACCTTCGCCAACTGCTGGCTGGGTCAAACCTCGTTTATTGTTATTGCTCCGTCTATCTCTTGCCTTCCTTCTCTCTAGAGTGGGAGACGAAGTAAATATGTTCCCAGACGAGCCTCAGAGCGCAGGAGAAGTACCGGATGAGCGCCTGCGACTCCTCTCCGCATTGCCTTGACTGCGACGGGGCGCAAGTCACCTTCACTCCAGCAGCACACGGTGCACAGTGAAGACTTCACACCCAACCCGGAGCCCAGCTAGCTGAGTTGTTTTCTCTGACGCACCGATGTCGGAAGGAGACGATCGCATTCACGGATATTCTCCAAATGCAACCATTTTTTATGATTGCGAGTTTCCATTAAGCACCAATAAGACGGGCGATAACGATATTGTCTTCGCTGCAATACCTTCTTTTTGAGACGAAATAACACTGCCAATGTCCCGGCTGATAATTCTACAGCTCCCTACGCGACACCTAAAGCTTCTGTGTTGGGGAAAATCTGAACGCAAAGAAACAAAAACTTAATCGTCTGGTATCGTAGTGTCAATTATGCTCCCAGCGTCTGATCCTTCGAGTGTTTCCGGCTGGTTGGGCAGGCCTGTATCTAACCTTGGAGAGGCAGAAGAAGACGAGCAGTTGCTACAGGCCTGACGTGGCTCTGTATCTGGCAGCACTGCGCACCCAAAGGACGGAATACTAATATGGCCCATCCAGTCAAACCCCCGCCCCGAGCTGTTACCTATTTGAGCTCCTTAACGAGTGAATGCAGGCTGTTACCCACTTAGTAACACATACATAATGCATAATACAATCTGCCATGCCCTTTGTTTTGGAACTTTAAAGTCTGATTTATGGAACTCTTTTCTTTTAATGATCCCTATGTTATAATAGTATCCTTCACTTAAAAACTCAGGGTGGTTTAGATTTATGTTACTAGAGTTCACAGTGACCTAATGATTTAAAAAAAGTTATAAATGGTATGAGTGTTTCATTGTTACATTTTAGAATATGCCTGGCAGGAATATGCCTTTAACATCTTACGTTGCTTGTTGCACTTATATATATGTTTTCTTCCTGACCAAGAATAATCTTAAATCAAATTCAATTCATTCATGTGAAACTTGACAGGCAGACAAATACATATCACAAAAAGTCAAAATGTCATTCTGAAATAAGCTGCTTAAATGCACATACAGATGGAGCGCATTGTGATAAAAACTATACTCAGAGTCACAAAAACAATACTCTTTCAGCATTCTTATTTTGTGTCTGCTATAAATGTTCCTGAATCCATTGGCAGCTTTCAGCAGTGCCATTTGCACTTCCTTGCTTTTTACAACCACAAAGACGAAAGTATGCGGTAGATAATCTGAATAAATTACGAGTCCATTTCAGTGTATGGTGAGTGTTCTTTCCAAACCTGCATTACTATTTAATTGTGAATGCAGAAAAATACTTTCAAAATCCATCCATGTAAGTGAGATACACCCACAGGCACACAGCATTAACACACAGACGCATGCATTTGGAGTGAGACAGGAAATGTACAGTGTGATCTTTCTGTCTATTTAAATATTAAATATTATTTTGTTAGTAAGTATAATGACAATTAAAGACATAAAGTGTGTGAGGAATAAAATCATTTATTTCGCTCTTACACATGATTTCATCATCAAATGTATAATCACTTAAACGGTTATACCTGTATGTGTTATATATATATCTGCTACAAAATAAATTGACTTTAAATTGACAACAATATTCCCTCCTGATGGATGCTTATTGACCTTATTCAGCGACCTTGGGTCCCTTGAAAGGCGCTATATAAATATCATTTATTATTATTATTATTATTATTATTGTTGTGTTGCTTATCAAAAATGTAAGCACTAACAGAATGTATTTCATTATGTTGAAAGTAAAACTGATGTGATGTTACACTGTTATTATCTCCCCTTCAAGCAGGAACAGGACACAACGGAGAATATAGGATTCCCAAACATCCCACACCATTTCCCTATTTCAATCATTTATTTATGAGACACAACAAGCTGTTTTCCCACCACAGCGACATCCCACCTGCTTGACATTCCCTCATTGTTTTCTCATCAAACCCTATCCCTCAGTTTTACCCTTTCTCCCTATGTGAACATGGCTGTCTTCTGTCTCATCCTAAATTCCTTATTGTATGATCATTCTTCAGTGTCCTCAACCTTTCCTTTTTCTATGTTTCTCCTTCATTGTTGCCAGGACTGTCAAAAGGAAGGGAAGAAGATGTAGCAAAGAAAGCAGAATATGAAGAAGCCAATAACCCAGTTGACTGAGTAAATATAAATGATGACCATGTCCATGTCAAAGCGCCAGCCTCGAGAGTCATCCTCAAAGTCCAGAGCATCCAGGCGGTAGCCTCCTCCGTGGGGGAACTGGCGTCTAGCTATGGGACTGGACTGCCTCTGGAAGCCTGGTTTGGGTGACAAATAGGTATCTAGCATCTTTCATTTAAGTGGTACTTTACCCAAGATATATATAACTGACTTAAATACTTTGAAAACAGTATGATTGGTGGGTAGTAAAGCCTTTCTAAGTGTACTGGGAGAATGAGCTGGGATTCATAACAGAGTCATTTAGAAATGACACAAGGTTTTTAAATCAACTCCTACAATATTATAACATGTTTTAACTATGCAGAATTATATTACAAACAACCATTATTATAGCATTAAAGTCATTGATGTTATACAGTGCATCCCTGTTTTCCTACAGCTCTTTTGGAGGATGGTGCGACACTGCTTTAGCTCAAGATATCCTCCAAGAATTGTGCGAATAAAAAATAAATTGCATGTGTGTGGGAGAGGCAGTCACTCATACAATATAAATTACAGACAAACGCAGTATAGTTTAAAATGTGTCCTACTGTTGCTGGTATTTGCAAAAGTTGATAAATTCATCCTGAACTGAGAACAGAACATTTCCATGGGAGAGGATTCAAAAACTTGCCTCCAAAGATACGGAAGAGTTTTCGGCAGCTCGGGAGAGGCCACTTGGCACAATTTGCTTTCTGGAAGTTCTGTTTCCGGGAAAGATATTCCTTTGGGAAGAATGTTCTTGCGGTTTGGTTTAATTCTGTAAACAAGACAAGGAGACAAACTTAATATTATAAAACATCTTCTCGATAGCCTGGATAGATTAAGTTATGAGATCTGTATTAAAGATCCTGCGTTATTAGACCCCTTCATATTTGTTCTTGTTCGGGTTCTGTGTGACCTTGGCATTGGTAATCACCACAAAAATCTTGTCTAAAGTCCTTTTCACCTAATCACTCACAAGAGCCCTTAGCGTGTCTGCGATGCTCATAACCATGGCCACTCTGCCTATTTATGGACACAGCAGTGTCCCTGCCGCTCATTTCTCCTACATACATCTAGAAGTAGGTCAAAGTGAATCACAGAACTTCATTACTTATTCATAGATTTGTCCAACTCAGACTACGTCCCATGTAATCAGTGTGCAGTGATCACAAGGTTACATAAAATAAGTATGTCACTATACAGCATAAGAGTGAAATATCATCATTACTGTACGTTATATAACATTGTTTTGTAGGGATGTTACATATAAGATAAAGGTTGTATCTTCCATTTGTGACGCTCTTAATAAAAAGCTAGTTTTGTCATGCATTTGCAACCCATAATGAGTACTACTTATGAAAGTACAACGTAAAGATGTTGTTATCCTGTTTGAGTTTGTCTTCTCGTTCTGAGTGACTCATCTGGTCAGAGCTGAACTAAAGGTCTACTCTGCTCCCTGTGGGGCGTCTGCAGCTGGGCCCCCGAACAATCTGCAGCTTAGATCTCTACCAATACACATATAGCTGCAATTATGCATGTATGCATCGATACAAATGTACTGTTTCATAACACTACCATGTGATATGTCATTCCACTGGAAAGCTCTTATTATACTGGCATATTTCAAAGTGTCTTTTTATCCATCTAACATTACTCACTTCAGAATGCAGAGTCGTAAGTTTGAAGTGATAAGTATTTAAAATGTTGAGAATTGTACATCAAGTGCTTTCTGCCTATTAGCTCACCCTTCTGGAAGAAGACATGTGTGATGATTGTTCTGCAGAGGGGGCAGGGTGTGTTGGTGGGGCTGCCCTTAGCTAGCGTCCTTAGACAGGGTTCACAGAAGACGTGGTTGCAGGGGTGACACATGTAAGGACTGAAGAACACGTCCAAACAAACGGCGCAGATGAAACCTTCTCTGTCACCGGTGCTCACATCCTCCTCGTCCTCACTGCTGCTGCTGGATGGGTTCCCTGTTGAACTCTTGGTGCAGAGAAAAAAAGGCAGAGAGAGAAAAGACGGATAGATGTTTAAGACGGAGGTATCCCATGCATATATTGTCTTTGTATGCAGTACCTGGAAAGCGGGATTCAAATCAGGCTAGCGCCTTAAAAAAAAGATTAAATGGATTTCTCTTTTTTAAAAGGAAAAGAATCATGGCAAACTAATTTCTAAAGGATCAGATTTACATGGATTGAGATTTTAAGACAGAATGATTGAGTATCAAGTAAAAGAAAAAAGGGAAAATAATCCAGAAATATGCCGCTCTACATATGAGGTTCAGCATTTATTATCACGACAAGATGTCATTGCACCAGCTGGCAATACATATATGTCAACATGTACTATTTTGCAGTCCTCTAGAGATTCTGTACCCTCTTCTTAATACACCCATTTTGATGAGAGTAAATTACTTTTACAACAACCGGCACAACATAATAATATGTGTGAGGACATGAGGGTGTTAGGTGTGAGCTCAAAAGAGCATAACTTCTACCTATCTACATGTATCACTTTGTACGGTAAAGCAAGAAACATTGTTTGCTAAAGAGGGACATTTGACCCAGATCCCGGTACTAATTCAAACTCCATTCACTTTACAAAATAAAGAGAAGTGTTGCATCTCTCCAGGTAGAGTTTAAGTATAAGGCACAGTGTGAGACTTTGTCTTTATGTTGTACATGGCCTGTCCTCTTATCCTTTGATCTAGTATGTACCCTTTTATTTCATAGAGCACAACGCACTGCTTTATCCCTCTTATCTCCTCAGCAGTCAATTGCCCTTGATTCCAAATGCCTCAGAATTTCAGAATAAAAAACACAAATCATATAAGAGGAAGTACCAACACTTGTTTAAAGAACAGTTTCTCGGGTCCCTGAAGTCCCCCGTCTCCTCCTCAGACCTGTGTTAGCAGACGCAGAGGAGTGGTGGCTGAGGCCTCTGCTTGAAAAGCCTGGGGGTGCTTCCAGAGTAATTACCCTGTTCTCACCCAGGGGGGGCCTCTGGGGACTTCAGTGTCTTACCGTACAGCCTGCCTCCCAAGGTGTGTCATTATCAAAGAGGAGACAACACATTGAGCACAGCTCCTGAGGAATCATAGCCACTGAGGCTTCCCCCTGGCAACATGTACTGTAACATGACCATTTTGTCTTGGTATCATTCAATGGAAAATAAATTCAACTTTCTACATACATTTAAAAAGACACTGAGTAAGTCTCTTCCTTTTTCCAATTGTCACTTCTAACACACCACTGCACTGTGAGTTACCTTAAAATAATCATTAGTATTTCATAGCAATACATTTTCCGCAGGACTCCAAGCAGCAAATAAAACTGCTTCAGTGCAGCAGCAGCCGAATTAAGTCAACCAAAGAATAAGGCACTAATTGTCACACAGGAAAGAATCCACTTCCTGTGGGAAACTGGATGACAAAAACACCCGCTCTGACCTTTGGCATACTTTGTAATGTATGCAATAAGTACGGCAGGACATTGTACTCAGAAGTAGTTACATGATATTCTCTCAGGGGGGTTAAAACAACTATATCCACAAACAAGAAGGTAGATAGGTCACCAGTAAAGTTACATGAAATATGCAAAAGGAAGTAAATAAAAGCATCATTCACATTGTGAATTATTTAAATGGAATTAAAAGTAGGCTTTGTGATTAAAGGGGTTAAGAAAAAGGGGAATGAGACTATTGTTCTAATGCTCTTGGGAGTTAAGTTGAAATGGCTACAGCTAATAGCAGAAATGCTGTGCTTGTAGTGAGGAGTTCCCAAGTGAGAATCATTGTAACTGTAAAGTGCAAAGTTGGGAAAAGCTGACAAAAAGAGCATACACACCCAAAAACACCTTGATAAGGATTAATGACCAAGCAAGCCCATTCAATCTCCCTCTGAATTAAAACAAATATAAAGTTCAGAGTTGGACAAAAACCCCTACTCACTTTTTCTCTGAGTTAGGAGAGAAGCTCACAACCACTACCATGAATACGCATTAAGTATGGAGTTTAGCTTAGCATAAACACTGGAAGCAAAGGGGAGCAGCTAGCCTGGATTTCTCAAAAAATTCAAATATATGAATATTGTTTCAAAGTGATTGTTGGTGCTGCTGACATAAAGAAAACGGCAACAGTTGATGTTCTTCTCAGAGCATTTCAACTACCAAAAACAATTGACACACTTCATTTTGGTTTCAACGGTTATTTCAGTTCAATTCTCACTTCCACCATTTGCCATTGCCTACTGGGAAAGGTGACTATTTGGTCACTGGGGATAGCTACTGATAGGTAGAAGGTAAACCAAAAGTGCATTCGTAAATGAAGTCTACATTTCCCCCGGTGATATACCTGGTGGCACTGGCAGACCGAATTACGATGAGAATGCAAGACTAAAAGGGCACATAGCCAGGCGCTGATGGTGTCATTATTCTATTGCCTTTACATTATGATTATCAATATTTTAGACATTACAAGGAAAAATGTGTCTATTGCCACTTTATTATGTGGTATGTCACTTGCTTAATTGACACACAACATAGATAAAAAAGGACAAGTTGATAATTTAATGGAGTCATGCTTTGACTTGCCTTTCACTGTAGGACAGTCCAAACTGATTTACCCTTAAATCATAACTATGGGGCAAATTGAATAGGATTCACACTTACACTTGATGCATTTTCCACACGGTGGCACATGCCATCTGTTCTCTTCTACATAAATAATCCACCAGATCAAAATAGACACAATTAAATGTGCTTGAGTATATACATCATGCATACATTAACAGGCCAAATCCAATGGGAGGAAGAGAGGAATATCTTAACTAAAACAATGTCAGCAGGGGGGCTTTGAATTAGTAAACGGATGTTCTGCTTTTTCAAAGCAACTAATTCTATTGAGCTTTATCTAATTCAGAAGTAAGAATAATTTCTATCAACCGACATGACTGCAGATCTGCAGCAGCCAATCAAAACAGAATCTGATCTTTTGTATGATTGTTTTTGAAGTGCTCTCCAACCAGGCCTCATCATGCAACCAATTCAGATGTAACCCCACTTTAAACCGCAAAGACAATGGCTATTGAGATGAGCATGGTGCTGATAGGACTGTGAGCAGTCAGACTGTAGATGAAGTGAAAACACAAAGGAACACAAAGGAACATAAATACACGTGACAAAAACTGCTATAAATAGTTACAGAGAGAACGTGGACCGATTATGCCAGAATTTAGTCGACCAATTGTAGTTTACCACACACTCAAATGTACACAACTCTTACTTGCTTTATTGCATTAAACTTTCATCCTAAAATATAAACAAACCTTAACCGAATCAGTTAGTAATTTAATGCTGGAGTGCCTTGAGGCTATAGAGTAATTCAAAAGTATCGTATTTTTTTCTAAGTGCTATGCTAATAAAACTTGATAAGGAATGCACATGGATTTAGATGCATAATTTGTTTTTTAAAAGGAAATACATTCAATGATAGCAAGTTGCCACGATCTCTCAAGTTCTTATATTGTTGTTAGTGTAACAATATAGTCTGCATTAAGAAATGGGAGAGAAACATGCGTTATTCAATGATCTAATTACAAGCTCTATGGATCCTCTTGTAGCACACTAAGATATGAGGTAGGTAGCTGATCTTAATCCTTAAACCACTGACAAACCATTTGGTAAGAACAGCGACATCAGTACTTATTGGTGTTGGAAGGCTCAGTTAATTGTCATTCACCTGTCTGCTCTCCTGCAGTTGACTTTGTCTCCACCTCTCTCTTCTCCTCAGCCTCCTTCTCAGACACTTAATCCTGTTCTTCTCTCTTTTACTCATCCTCCACTCCCCAAAAGGAACATAAGGCAGCATCACTGCTGAGGTCATGGTTTGACCCATCATCTCCACCACGCCACTGCCTCCTTCCTCGCCATCTTCCAAACCCTCCTCTTCATCATCCTCCTCTCCTTCACCTGCCCCGAGCACTGAACTGGCGATGTGTGTCTGGGGTATTTGTGACAGTCGTCCAGATGAAGCAGCTGTCCTGACCTCCACCCAGAACGGATCTGGCTCTCTTGATGAACTTAATGGGTAGCTGAGGAGGTCTCCTGACACTGTCCTGGATGAAAGTCTCTGAAGGGACATAGCTGAGGATCTGGTTTGGATAGGAGGCGAAGGGAGAGCAGAAGACATGAGCCTCATTGCCGGCCGAGGGACTAGGGAGTTCAAATCTGTGGTGCAGTCAACAGTGGGCTGTCTAGGACATTGGTATCTTCTCTGGAAGTTATTCGATCCTTCACAAACTTCCGAAGTGCTGTTAGACAGGATATCTGAATTACTGCTCGACAGACTTTCAGTGCTGCTTGTTCCTCGTCTGTCCTGCGATCTACCTCCATGTTTATCACTGCGTACAGTCTTTCTCAGATTTTGTTTTCCTCTTGCGCTGCCTCCTGCATGTTCAACATTTTGTCTCTCCTCATCACTATCTTGGTTTCCTTCTCTACATCTAACTCTTTCCTTGGAGCAGGTCTTCCTGTGGGCTTTCTTCCCTGGCAAGGGAGGTCTCACCAGTGCCTCCACACTGCCCGACCCCCCCTCTCCGGCTGGATCTGCCCTTGTTAGCCCAGGTCTCACTGGTTTCAAATACGGGGTATACGTCTTGTTGTTGCTGTTTTCTTCACCAGAATCCTCACTTCCACAACCACCAATTCTGCCATTTACACCCGATGGTTCCAGATGGGAGCTCATGACGGCAGTTTTGAGCCCCTCAGTCACAGCTGATGTAGCTTTAGCTAGCCTGGTCTTTCCCCGCTCATCTTTCCCTGAGTCTTCTCTCTGCCTGCCAGCCCTTCTGAATGTATGGGAGGTAGAGGGACAGTTGCAGTGTAGAGGTGAGCAGTGCAGTGCTCTGGCCTGGCTATCCTTCCCTCGTTGGCCTGCTGGGACATTCCACACTGTTGATAAAGACAAAGCCCCCCCTGGTGAGCCCC